AAGAACCTCACTTCTTCAGATGCAAGAGAGTGCATCTCTTGCATCTGAAGAAGTGAGGTTCTTACCCACGAAAGCTTATGCTCTATACTTCTGTTAGTCTCAAAGGTGCCACAGGACCCTCTGTTGCTTTTTACAGATTCAGACTAACACAGCTACCCCTCTGATAATATACAATAACTCTTGATTCCTGATCTTTAGAAGTGCCAAGTACCCACATGTAACTGAAGCCAACTGGAGGATTTAAGTGCCCAGACCCTGTGAAAATGAGACATTAGGATCCAAGTCCCTGCTGGCTCAGAGACTGAAAAATGAAGACTCGAATCTAGCTCTTGGTTAGCAGCCAAATGTCCAGATATGTAGTAACTAGAGCTGGTCAAAAGAATACCAGTTATTTTTGTGGGATTTATTTTTAATTTTTTTTAGTTTCCTGCAAGAATTTTCTTTTTTTTTTCTTCCTTTTTTTTAAAAGAAAAACTGAAAACCAAAAATGTGATTTTCAGGCCATTTTTGAAAACAAAACAAAACAAAACAAAAACGTGAAAGCTAAAACCCATTTTTTTTTACACAAAAAGCCAAACCAAAATCCAATTATTTTTCCTGAAAACCATTAATTTTATCAAAACATTTTTAGTTTCCTGTTCTCTGCTGAAAAACTGAAAAAACAATTATTTTGGCCAGAAAAGCCATCTTTCACTGAAAAAAAAAATTCAACCAACTTTAAGGCCAATTCTTTTGATTTAGTCTTGATGTGAATGCTGAGGCATATACAGTAATTTTTCATTCTTGCTGTTGCCATCAGTGAGACATTCCCTACCCTAAACAGTAGCAGAGGTTGCTCAGGGACTTCCTCCTGTTGAAGTGTCTTGAAGAAGGAAAGAAACAATTAAACATATCCCCATGTGAAATATTGCGCCGTAAGGGCTGTCCATAAATTATGTTACACACTTTTCGGTGATTTTGAAGACCCACCCACCCCTTGTAACACTTTGTTACACTGAAACAAACATGTAAAATACCCCTAATGTATTATGTAATTTATGGACATTGCCTTAGTGTCTGCAGGGGTAAATACAGAATACAGCATAATCGTCTAAGGACCAGTGTCATTCTGCTGAGAACCTAAATCTTAATAAAAAGGATAAAGCAAACTCAAAGCTTCCATCCCAAACAGCATGTCAAATAGTGACATCTGTCTATCTTTGGATGTGTTTTTATAAAATGCCTATTGCCACAGTGTGAATTATGTGTTTCATATGGTTTTTTTAATCAAAAGGAGGCAACATTTTGATTGTTTTGATCAAATTTTGCTTCAAGGATTCTGGTTGTTCAAGCCCAAAACTCAATATTAAATTCAAAGGAGTAATTGAACCAGAAACATAGTTTGCCAAAAACCACTGCATCTCTAACAGCTCTGCCTGTAAGCTGCAAAGAGTAGCATATCCATACTTCTTGGCTGTTGTAGCATTTCTCTTGGTACACATTTAGCCCCTCAGAACTGTTCTCCATAGGTTCTCGCTCAAGGAGCTACCAAAAAGCAAAGCATTGCTTCTTTTTGTACAGAGCTGCCCAGATTGGTTTCTAACCTGTTGCAGAGCTCTCTGAATGTCAATCCCTTGGCCCCAAGGAACGGCTGGATTTGCAAGGCAGTCGCCAGCATTCCCACGACGGGAGATGTCAATCCGCTGCCTCCGCAGGCTCTGGAAAGCCTCCGCCATCACCCGAACTCCATCGTAAGTAAGAGCAGATGTGTACTAGAAAAGGAATATGGAGAGGTGTGCTGTCTGTTAGGGTGAGTTGATCTTACAGTTATCTGTCGGTTCTTCTCCCAAAAATAAAATAGAGTTACCAGAAGTTCCCATCTAAAGCCTCACATTATTGCTGCAAGACAATTTATTCTATTTTCATCTTTCCATTTAATAATTTTCTGTACAATAGCATCTGGCTTCCTGTAATCTCCAATGTCTTGTTGACTCCTCGTTTCCAAGCAGACTCTAGACAAGAACATAATTTCCTGCTGCAGAGCTAAAAGGACTTGCTGTCTTAGCCACCTGTTCTCCTACCTCAATTGCCTTTAGAATGACCATCTCTCCTTTCCAGAGAAAAGTACCTTAGTCATAATGCCTGAAGAGTGCTTAGTCTTAACAGACCCATTACCCGAGTCTTTCCAGTTAGGTCATACTGGCCTTCAAATAAATTGTTAAGGGCTACTTTGTGTGATGCATGAAATTTCAGGTGCATGAAAATAAGTTAAACCACTCATGGTAGTCATTTATGGATGCCAATTCCCCCACTTTTTAAAAAATATTATGTTGATTAAAACAGAAACTACGGGGGCCAGGGAAAAACCATAGACTAGACTGTGACTATTAAGAATTAAGGCTGGCGTTCACTTTCCCATAATAACCTACTTCTCCAGTTGTTTGTAACTTTCTCAGAGAAATTCCTTTAGTGTTGAAATTCCCCTTGCTGGGTTTTTTCCCCAAAGAGTCAAAGTGTGTGTATGTGTGTGTGTTTAAATGTTAGAAAAAATTGTTCAGCCACTTCAGAGTTCTGTTTGTGTTAGAAATAAAATATTTATGCCCGATATTGCACATACTGATTTGAAATGTTCTGCATGTGTGACAACATCTGAACGGATTTTGTTTACATGTAAGATATAATAAACAAGCCAAGGTTTAAGGAAATTAGCCAGACTTTTTAAATAAAAGTGCCCAGGGATCCTTAATTTCCACCTTTAACTGGCAGAAGAATTGGGCAAAAGAGACCTCAGCTGTACACATCTCACCAAAGAGAAAATTTCTAAGAGCATAGCTGCCTAGTATTACTGTGACAGATCTGGGTAGGAAATTGAGATGCAGGAAAATAAGTTGTGTTCACAAACATGTTAGCTAGCACGTTTGAATTAACATGTTTTTAAATGCAACCTTTTTTCCAAGTCTACGCAAAGCCAAAGTTCTGGACTGGGAACTAAACGCTTGAGCTTCCAATTCAGAGGTGAGAATGCTAGCAACTGAGCTCCACGAATGCTACCTAAAACAAGTAGCTTTCAATACCACTTGCCTTTGGCTTCTTCCAGTCAACTCGAGGATGTTCTCTGGCATCACTGTTCTTCCACTGTTGCATGATCCTTGCTGGAACGGTGTCTGTGTAATTCACCAGCTGGAAGCCGGTCACATTTGCTCCACTCTCTTTGAATTTTACCAGGTCAATGTCCATGAATCCCTAATGGAGGAGAGAAACAAAAGGAGAGGGTCACTGGAAAGGACACAGGCCTGGAGAAAATGGTTTATTTATAAATAATGGAATGTCCTGTGTCTGGGTGGATAGTTCTTGGATTTCAGGAAACTTCTGTATCCATTAATGTGTGTAGCCATCCTTCCTTCTCTCCAAAATCCTGAATTCAAACCAAAGTTTCTCCTTGAGTTAAACTGAATGAATTTCCTTTTCTGCACTGCCAACAGAGAATGCCTGAGTTGGATGATGACATGCATTTCAATGCAGCAACATTAACAGGCATAGTAACAAGAACAGATTTTCATTAGAGGAGGTTGAACAATGGAAAAAATTATTCCCAAATAATGATTCAATGAATGTGCCAATATTTGCAGGGAGTATTGGTTGCAACAAATTATTCAGCCAGCTCTAACTTTTATGCACTCAATCAAACATCAATGGATGGATAATTCACTTTCAAATTATGGTCTTTAAAAGAAGGAGACCTGATGGAACAATAATCTTTCAGCAGAGCAAGAGGTAAATATTCATATTTACCCTGTCATAGAAACAGATCTGTTAAAAAGACACTGTCAGGTTATAATATTTTTGTAATTTTTATTAAAAAGAACACAACCAGTTACCTACATTTTTTTACTCTTTGAAAGATTTTAACTGCAACCTATTTCTTTATTTTTTCCCCGTCCACGTCCCTCACACAAGTATATGTGTGTTCGCCCATACAAACACACACACACAGTTGTTGTAGGGCTGCACTGCCAACGTTGATTTGATTTTTTAAAGAAAGCCATTGACTCATTGTCTGTGAAATAAAAGCAAATAAAGAACCAGACGGACTTTGCAGGCAGATATAAGGGGGCGGGGGGAGGGGCAAAATAGGTCAAATCTGGGGCCTTCTAACTTTGACAATATTCCCGTTAAGACCGAATACATGATGGACCAGATTCTGGCCCCCCCCATGCTCTCCTGGTGCTAACGTGGAGCTGACGGGCAGAACTGCAGTGCTTGTGCTTCCTGGGGGCAAGCTCCAGACGCAACAGGAGTAAAAGCACCACCCACACCACTAGCCCTTCTGCAAGGAGCATGGCTGGGTAGAGCGGGGCGGTGCTAATGACAGAACTTGCTGCACCCCTGAAATGGAGGAGTAGGAGCTGCTGTACAGCACTATTCCCCAATATTCCCCTCCCCTCCAGACTCAGCATCCAGGATTCTCCTCCCCATCTCTCGACACTTCTCATGCAGCTGTGACATACAAAGCCAAAACCCAGCCCCCCCTCTGCTCACCAAAACCTGGACTATATGCGATAAAAAATGGTGCTCTCTGACAGCCTGATGCAGAGCCAATGTAAAGACTCTCATCGGCTTCAATGGGCTTTGGATCAGGCCCTTACACGGAAACAATTAAAGGAACAGGCCGATTGCACGAACAAGAGATGAGAGGCTATGTCGGACTAAGGAGAGTCGCAAATGTTTTAGCGGGAGCTTTAAAGACCCCTTCTCTTCCAGCTTTGTCTCAACAAATTTAGTATCCACCTGCTGGTTCATTTGGATTTAGAGGTACACATTCTGTACAGATGCTTTAAAAACGTTTTATTTTGCTCCTAAGTGCAGTGGTCTAGGTAAAAAATATTATTTTATGAGACACAAATTCCTCCGAACGGTAAGTTAGTACAATTCAATCCCCTGTGTCGTCCCCAACGTCGGGGTTTCAGAAACCCAGGGCTGTGACAAATGAATAGGGAATGCAGCGGAATACTGTCTGACATCTTAATGCATGTCAGACCAAGTGGTTTCTGACACACAGAGCTCCCAGGGTTCAGAAAGAGTGCCATGGCTGTAGCCAAATTACACTGTCATTTGGCTTCTGGGATGTGCTCAGGGGAAAAAAATCCATCAAAGGAAACCCTTGACTGAAAGCAGCTCGTAGCTGGGTATCACCAGCTTCTCTTCAGGAAGACCATAAAAGCATGAAGAAAAGTCCAAGGCTGGAGCAAGGCACCAGCAGGAAGACACTACTGGGATCTTAGAAGCGTCTCCAAAAACAGGCAGAAAGTGGGCAGGGCATGAAATGGCTTTGGAAACTGGCTAGATGGTGGTGGCTGAGAATACTGTCCTGTCCCCTTTTCGTTTCCTCCTCTTCTGCCTAAAGGGAGTATTGTTTATCTATATCTATATCTATCTATCTATATACACACACATACTAATTGTGAGTTAATGGAATTCACCCTGCAGAGCAGGAATCCTCTGCAGAATCAGAGGTAAGATTGAAAGCTTGAAAAAAAAAGAAAGAAAAGAAAAGAAAAAACATTGTCTTTAAAATTTATTTAACTTCCTTCCCAACATAATTTCTAGGGTAGGTCTCGGGGTGTGGACAGTTTCAGAGAATTTTAGGCCAGAAAGGACCATTCGATCATCTATTCTGACCTCCTGTATAGCATGGGCCATTTAATTTCACCCAGTCATCCCTGTAGTGTGGACTCGGTGTTTCCAAATCCATGCTTGAGCGTCCACACTACCTTGTGCACCTGGGTTGACCCTTGCTAGACCTGGTTTCAGAGCCATGTGAATGTGCCCATACTTCACTATGTGGAATTTCTGACTTGGGTCTGCTATTTGACCTTCATTCACACTGCCAAATGACAGGATTGGAGCCGAGTCACAGCAAGACTTGGGTTCTGACCCACCTTCCGACGCAGGAGCCTAGGACCCGCGTCCTGAGAGCTTGCTGACCCAAGTAGACTGATTTGTGGGGGAAAGGAAGAGGGCTCAGGCTCAAACCTAAGTCAACGCTTGGGCTTCGCATGTGGTGCAGACATACCCTAAGTGACTTCCCCAAGGCCCTATAGAGCCAGGCTGAACCCAGATCTCCTGAGATGCAGTCGAGTGCTTTAGCCACAAGACCTTCTTGCCTCTCGGTAGCATGCTTTTTGCTTATGTGAAACTTGACAAAGCAAAACAATTGTTTCCAAATTATGGTAGATCAGACAGGTCCGGCTGAATTTAAAGTAGCATCTGTCATTGCAATGTGCTGGGGATTCACTCTGAAGGGAACAAGATGCAGGGTGTTTTAAAACGAGATCTGCCTGGTGTCTCCTATTATCTTTGGGCTTGACTTCTTGGGAAAAGCATCGCTCCCCATTCCCATCACTGTGTATTAATGAAGGGGCTATTTCTAAAGGAGGCCATCTGTCCAAGTCCCTTTCCAAGATGTCTTCCAACAGAAGCTGCCTTCTTCTCTTCCACACAATCATTAATGTGTCAGCTCTGATTACGACAGCAAACTATACCTGTCCTCACTGTAACAAAGGAGAGACAGAGGGAGAAAGAGATGGACTGAAAGAAAGCGAGGGAAGGAAGCAGAGGCACCATCAAATAGAAACACCAATCCTCCAGTGTCCTCAATCTGTTGCAAAGCAGCTTTAACGTGGTTGGGATCTATCCCCCTGAGGATTATCTCAAAAAGGGAATCTTTGAGCAGTATGCAGGAACTGTAATGGCTCCTATGACACCTCCCTGCCAGCTTCCTACACCGAAGAGAGACGGGGGCATGGCTGGGGGGTTCCTACACTTCGGTGATCCCTGAATGGTGGAATGGTGGCATAATGTAGAGCAACCTTTAGGGGGCTCTATGTTGTAGAAGCAGACTAGCCTGCCACACATATTTTCACCAATCCCATCCTGAGCTGTGCTGGCTGCAAGGAAGCCAGGGTCTAGCAACAGAGGAAGAGGGGAATTTTGTTTCTGGAAGAAACTGGAGTCTGAGTGCAAAAGAAAATTGCTGACCAGAGATGTCAAATGAGTCCTTTACTCTTCTCACTGCAAAGAATGTAGATTTTGTTACAGTCCTGACCCTGGATCTATTCCACCCTCAAAGCACAACAAAACTGAGGAGAACCACACTGCAAAAACGAACACATTAGAAACAATTAATATATGCAGTCATATTAATGACAATTTGAATCACACATGATGGTGACGTGGGCCATAAAGCTTTTATTGGCACGTGTTTCTCCTAGTATGATGTGGTAAACTTGCTCCTCACGAGGGTATTATGCAGAGTATCTTAAAAAATATATATGGAGATATACCTATCTCACAGAACTGGAAGGGACCTTGAAAGGTCATCAAGTCCAGCCCCCTGCCTTCACTAGCAGGACCAAGTACTGATTTTTGCCCCAGATCCCTAAGTGGCCCCCTCAAAGATTGAACTCACAACACTGGATTTAGCAGGCCAATGCTCAAACCACTGAACTATCTCCCCCTCTTAAATGAGTGTGGATAAAACCTCCATAGTACATCCCAGCAGCATGTATTACATGGTATATACCCAATAACATAAAAGCTATATTAGAATGTACAGAGTCTTTAGGCACCTCATTGATAAATATATTGTCTCTTTCTTCTGTATAGCAAAGCTGACTCATAAATTCAGCTGTACAGATCTCTCGGGGAGAGGAAACATCTAACTGACAATTTTAGAAACTTAAAGATAGCCCCAAATACCTCTTTCCAACATAATAACATAGTGTTCACAAGGCATGTAGCCTTGGAAACTTTATCAGGATCAGAAGCCAGTGCTGTAAATACCCCACTGGAAATCTGCCAGGACATTGGACTTTAAACCAGTTACTGGTGTGGTCTGAATAGAGGGGATCCTGCACCCCCGACCAGTAACAATTTTGGGAGAAGGAAGGGTTAAATTAAAAAGGAATCTTGCTGAAGCTGCTCAGAGGTTTAGAATGTTAGAATTTTAGCTTCATGTGAGATGGATTAATGGGGCAGTCAAAGGTGTATGATAAACGCAGTTTAGCATATTCTATATAGGTTCTTATACCACACTTATCACCATAGGGGCTGAGCGCCTGAACCTTATCACATGGACATCGTCACACTACCACAGCCACACATATAGCCATATGGGAAATACTGCGTATCATACAGCCTTCTGGAGAGCGGATCTCAGCCTGTATATTGAAAACAGTGTTCTCTAGTGCCACACTGACATGTGCTGATGCAACAACGTGGGAAAAATTCTTACGTCTGCCAAGCTAGAGAAAGTGACTTGTTTTTTGCCTTCACTGCCACCCTGGGATACTCTGTCCCACACACTCACCCAACCATTTCCAAGCCAGGGCATTTTCTAACGAAAGAATCTGGGCTGATGCTCACAAAAGAAAGAACACTTTAGGTGGCAGCTGTCCTTAACGTTTTACCTTTTAGACAGGTCACATGAGTGTCACTTATTTTTAGAAAAAATTCTCCTCTGAGGCTCTGCCTGGCAGAGACCTGATGATCTGCCACTACTGATAGTGGCCAAGTTAAATCTCTTGCATAAGAGATGGAGAAACATGAATCCAAGGTTACGCAAAATGTCAAAAGAAATGAATCCCAGGGGTTTCTAAGCTTACTTCTCTGATACTAATGGTTGTGCTCCTCTCTCTGACCTGATAGGCTGATGCTTTTAAAGACAAAGACCAGAACTTAAAAAATAAGGCCCACAAAAGCAAACAGTTCCTCTACTGGCCAAGCCTTCTTGATCTCTAAAAAGAAGAAAACACAAAATACTTTGTACCGGCAAACCTGACTCAACATGGGAGCAGCTCCTCGGCTGCTGTAAGCCGGTCAGCAGAGCTCCACGAGGTGAGGATCACATTTTCGCGGGTTTGCTCAGCTGCAGAACAGTTTCATTTTATTTGTGAACACAAAGAGGCAATTTTCTCAAGTGGAAAACAGCTTCTCCCTCCCCCCGCCGAAAAATGGCTATTTCTGCAATGAAAATACCAATTTTCCTGCACCCATGCTTGTAAAATTAAACTCAGTATTTTTGGTGCAGCTTTACTGACAGGGCAAACGACTATTGATTCATCGAAGTGAGCTCTTTTTTCCTGTTCATCACTTGTCTGATGCCCCACAGGTTGGGGACCATTACCCTAAAAGAACGTAGCTGGATAGCAAAGCTGTTTGTTATCACCTTTCAGCATCGGAGCCATGCTCTAGGATACAGGAGCGCACACTATGCACGACACGTATAGCCACGGCGGACATGCTCCATCTGCAGACTGGCTGGAAAATAAAGCCTGGGAAGCCTTTTTCTCAGCATAAATTATTTATGGTCCGTGCTGGCTGAGTAGGAAGCCTGCTCGTAGCCAGCTCCAATCCCTCTGCCCTTATGCACAGATTAAGAAAACAAACTACCTATAGTAGAAGATTCTGCCTTCTGCCTCGAAAGTGTGTGACAGAGACAGAGCTCAACAGTGAGAGGGAGCTGGAAGTTTTTTCTGTCTTAGGTACTTATATGATCCCTGTGACAGGTGGCTGGTCCTGGTCCTTGTAACTGCAGCAGGTCCAGTGCCCTGTGCCAGAGCAGGTGCTCCCAGCTGGGCCAATTAACGAGACAGGGCTACACCTGGGTTGTAAAGGGGTCACAGGGCGTCTTAGTGAGAAGATAGCTGGAAGAGAACAGGACTGGATGTGAGATGGCACTGTCTGAGGGAGGGTGAGCCAGGGAGATGCGGGAGCAGGATTGTCAGAGTTCCTGGGGAAAGCCTGAGATGTGAAGGGTGAGCTGAGGACCTGGTTTGTTTATTTGTGAAGTTAGACAATAAAACTGCCTTAGAGAGACTGTGGGTCTGGCTGTGAGTCATTTGACAGCTGGCAAGAATCCCTGCCTTACCACAACCCCCTTTACTGCACCCGAGTGCCTCCGCCTTTAATGCATTTAGCCTCACCCCTGTGAGGAAGGGAAGTGCCAACATGGTTCTTTTCCCTGTTCTGCCACTGGACTATTGGGTGGTCTTGGACAAGTCTTGTCGCAGCTCAGTGCCTCAGTTTCCCCACCTGTAAAATGGGTATAGTGCTACTGACCTCACTTGTAAAGCCCTTGGATATCTACTGATGCAAAGTGCTAGGTAAGAGCTAGGTGTTGTTTTATTCACCATCCCCATTTGGCCACACACACACTTTAAGTCCATAAGCAGCCTGAATAATGTTATTCTAGGTAAGCTCTTTAGTAAATGTATGCAGGATTGGGACCTAACCAACTTAAAATAATAATAAAAAAATCAAATACTGAAGAAAAGCTGCAGTTAGTTGCCTCTCTAAAACTTGCATCCTTCCTCCAGTGGAACATTAGCATTTTAACTCTAATTATATTGTCTCCACTGAGTGCAGGGTCAGTACCGGGTCAGAATGGGGTAATTATGTGTCCATTTTTGTCTTGTAAATTATAGTGTTATTCTTGGACCGAAAGAAGGCATTTAATTGGTAGTTTAAAGTTTAATTATCGGAGGCCTGATGGTACCTTTTCACAGAAGGAGTTGCAGGAGAGCAAAAACTGCTATAAACACGGCACAAGCTCGCCTGGCTGACCCAGGAACCCCCTGCTCCCTTCAGAGGGGATGGGATGTGGCCTGCAATTTGGAGGTGTCGGGGGTCTTGGGAAAGCATAGGACTACCTCACAGATCCAAAGGCTACCTTCAGGGATGGTCTTTTCCTCCAGGGTCACCCTCCCCGCTCTCGGGGGTACAAGAAGCAAAGCAGAGTTAACTCTCTTCTAACAACATTAGTTCTGGTGTGGCACTACTCTAGTTTCCCTGTGGACATGGGGACAGTGGCAGCTCCCCTCCTGCCACGTCGCCTCCTCTCACGACCACAGAGCCCCGATTATAGGATGTGTGCAAAGAAGGGCTTTGGCAAACTCTCAGGGAGCAGGCAACTCACGGCACAGCTGCTGTAACTTCCCCACCATCCACTGTATCCCCCTGTCTCTGTTCTCCACCCCAAGAGGGGAGAAACCAGCCCCAGGTCCTCTTTTTGAACACCTGACAGGCCTTCCACAGGAGGGTTTTTGAGACCGTTTCACAGCTATAGGTTATTGGAAGAATAAAGGGATCTCAGCATGTTGCCATTAACAACAGGGGCTCAGAAGGCTCCTGGGATTGCTAATGGGATCCAGAACACTTCACTTCTGGGACACAAATTCAAATGCAGTTCAGGTTGGCAGAGAATGAAAGTCATTTCCCCCAGCTGACAGCCGCTCCTAGGACTAGATGAAACAAGTTGGGAGATCTGAATCCAGAAACCAGCTACCCAGGACACCAAAAATACTACCACAGAATTGGCATTAATTAACACCCTTGTGGCAGCTTGGCAGAGAGGCCAAAGAATGAATGAGTCTGGAGTCAAAACAATCTTCTCACCCCTGGAGATAGTCTCACCACATCATGGCTGACACGCCGTGGGAGGAACGCTCGTATTTTTGGTACCCGTACGGTGGAGAAATAAAGGTCTTCGGTCTCTATGACTATTAAAGCTGGATCTTTTCATAGGCACAATATTCACAAACTACAAGAAAACACCAAGCAGAAAACCCACGAAAGAGGCAATAAGAAAGAAACAGCATTCAACTCACCAAATTTGCTAGAATGTAGTGGTATCCTATCCCATTTTTTTCAAGCTTGATGATCTGTAATGTCAAAAATGTTTCATTTAGAACATAGTTTATGCTAACAAATAAAGAGAGCGTGGCTTAGCTGGTTACCGCCTGCCCCATAATTCCCTTCCCAGTTATGCTTTAAATGAGACAGTTTGTGTGAGAACAGTCACAGTAAAAGGTAGAAGAAGAGCAAAGCCTTTCTAAGTGGTATTAAAGTGCTGTGAGATCAGCATCTGCAAGTATGAAACGAGGCAAAACAAGTTCAGCCACCATATCCCACAAGCAGGGAGAGCGGAGTATCTGAGTCTAGAAATATCATGTGGATTCAGGAGGTGAGACATAGTTGGTTACCATCATCTATAGCAGGGGTTGGCAACCTTTCAGAAGTGGTGTGCCGAGTCTTCATTTATTCACTCTCATTTAAGGTTTCGCGTGCCAGTCATACATTTGAACGTTTTTAGAAGGTCTCTTTCTATAAGTCTATAATATAGAACTAAACTATTGTTGTATGTAAAGTAAATAAGGTTTTTAAAATGTTTAAGAAGCTTCATTTAAAATTCAATTAAAATGCAGAGCCCCCCGGACCGGTGGCCAGGACCCAGGCAGTGTGAGTGCCACTGAAAATCAGCTCGTGTGCCGCCTTTGGCTCATGTGCCATAGGTTGCCTACCCCTGATCTATAGGAATAGAGGGGTCCCCATAGGGAACCTATTGTTCTGTGAATGCCAGAAAAACACCAAAAGTTACTTCCAAAATACTGTACACCTCAAACCACCCATATCTTGCCTGATTCAGACCGTGCCAAATTTAGTGCAACTCAGACTTAAGTACTGTAGGTCTGATCCTCTAGTACACTGGGGCTGTTGCAGGCCACATGCCCAGTGCAAAGCTGCCCTGAGTCAAGCAGTCAGTCAATGGAAAATTCCTTTAGTGTGTGTGTTGAGATGATATATACATGGTGCTGCTATATAAGATACCTAGAGCTCCTGACAGTCTCTCTCCCCTGATTCTTGGGATGTCTGGGCTCAGTCTGTTTCGATACTTCTTAATCAATATCATTGTTTAAAGCCCCATAATGTTTTAGAGTTTCCTTGTCAGCAGAAATGTTTCTGTTGCCTTCATTGCTAGCAAATGTGCCCTGCTTAATGGCTGATTTTTAGCTACTTTATTTCTCATCATTTTTGCTTGGTCTGTGGATTCCCATTAGTGGAATTCAGTTCTTACCATGTTTCTAAAGCCAGAGATCACATCACTCTATAATCCAAACCATATACAGAAAAAGCCCAGTTAGTAAAAAAAACAAACCCCTCACCCCAAGAGTTGCCAGTTACTGAGGGGAACCATGTGCTGTTTGGACCAGGCATTTTAGCAGGCAAAACACCACCTCACTTCCATGGTGCTGTGAACTGATTCTAAATTACCAGCAGAACTATCAACGCTCAGGTGTCATATGCAAGAACGTGAAACAAAACCAGATAAAGATCCCTGCTGTTATAATTGTTACCAAACCTATTGGTAATTATTGAACACTTGTTCCTGTGCAACTGATTCATCTGCCTTAGCCTTTCATAGCAGAAGTGCTCTTGTATAACATTAAAACTTGCCTGACTCCCTATGCTAATATCCCTGCCTCAATTAACACCGCTGGAGAATACATTTGTTAACACTTTTTGATACAAATAAGTTAGCCTCCACCACCTCTCACACGGCACAGTTCTCCGGTGGGAGATCATTAAATATGACTGAAGCAGATGAGTCTGAACTGCTCTAGGTCAGAGTAATCGCTCAGAGGAAGCAGATTTCTTCTATGCACATGCACGCTCAGAGTCATAGGATGTGTGATTCAGGGGCTAGATTTGGGGAACAAAACCAGAACTCTGTGCCCCCTTCTACTTAGTCAATTGAGATACACTTGTACAGGAAGTTCCCCTCTTCCACAGATGTACCTAGAAACGATCAGAGGTATAAGCAGTGTTTAATATGTGCAAGGGATTGCCAGGGCTGAGACGCGGCACTGCTAGACTCGGCAGTTCATAGCCCCGTTACCTTTGGCTTGCTGCATTGGTTATAATTGCTTGAGCCCCAGCACCTAATTGCTTGAGTCCCAACGCCTTTTTCATTACAAATTAAGCACGGGGCATACGGTGGGACCAGGAGCTGTGATCTCATGCCCCAGTGTCCCCCGGCTATTAAATAGGAGAATAGAGGGCGCTGGTTCCTTGCCCCAAAACTGCCCCTATGTTATGTTATTAGGTGTCAGAGTCAATGAATTGGAGAGGGATACAGACCAGCTTTCACTGAGCTGGGAACCTACCGACTCATACACACAAATTATGCGCCTTGCCTCCTGTGTTTTACACAGTTATTTGCTATCTTAATTTATTTTAAAGTGCTTGCTGAGTTCTAATGCTTTTAGACTGGGGTGGCAAGCTGAGGTTATAATAGCATTTATCACTTAGTCTGAACATGGAAAGAGGCAGCGTCGGGCTGCATGCTGATGGCTTGCTTGGGCCATCCAGGTTCCATTACCCACTTCTTAATGGGCAGAGTTTGACGTCTATTAGAGAGAAATTCTCTCTGAGAGTGATACAGCGGAGAGGAGAAGTTTCCAGTTACTCATTCTAATGAGCGTCAGGGAAGAAATGACATAGTGCTTTGATGGAATGCAAACACTTATTTATCCCATTAAGACAACACAGGATGGCCCAGTGGATATCCTGCCACCAGCCAGCAGGGCTGGCTCATAAAAGATGGTTACCTCAGCATAGATAAATCATGCCCCGCACCAGACATGGATGAGAGAAAAATCAGGTTGGTTTCTCACATGCCTTTAACCCTTGAGTGAAGATTTCTTTTAGAACTGAGTTCTTAAGAACTCAGCCACAGGGACTTGAAAGGAGAAAGAGAGCATGAGTGTGTGAGTGAGACTGATGTTTGAGGGCCGTCCTCTGCTCTCTATTCAAGAGGGACCAAAAATTCACAGCCACCAAACAAGAGTAACAGGATGGTGTGTGTATGCGGGGGAATGTGCTGAAATACCAGGGAGAGGCTGAGACGGATGTCTGAACACCTCACACACACAAAGAGAGTGAGAGCGAGACAGAAAGTGCAGACATCTGTAAATAGGACTTGCTGGCGCAGCGAGCGAATAGACTAGCTGCTGACCTCAGGAGTTGAAGTCTCCCCTGTACATTTGCATGTCATGGAACACCCAGGAGCTAGCAGGCCCTGCTGAGGCTGGAAGAGGCGGGGGTATTTCAGGTCTTGTTTGAAGTGCCTTCGCAGAGCTCTCTACGGGCTCAGGATTAGAATAGCCAGGGACGCTGCTGGTAAAGAGGGAATTGAGTGACGAAAGCCTGCATACCGCCCACCCTACTTGACCAGTCCTGTCCTATTTTCATGAGCACAAAGACCCTATGCGGTGAGGGTGCTCTGTCCAATTGGGTCATATTTCCCAAAGCTCAGTTCCCAGTTAGCCACCAAACTAAGTAAACAGATTTCCAAAAGAGCTCACCAGGCTGGTGTTGAGCACTGGCCCTAAAGCCACGTCTCACCAAGTACAAACTGCCATTTCTATTTGGAAATTCACATTTTTTATGACAAGGGGCACTTCTGAACCTCCTGCCACTGGTGGCCATTTTAGTGGCAAACAACATCATTTAAGTGACAAGGGAGCTTGGGTTAAGAAAAGAGAAGCGGAAGGCAAGACATTGGAGGTGGGGGACAGAAATTCGTCAGTGAAAAGTTCTGCAGTTTTCTTTTGTACCTACCAAAGTTCACATTTTGGGGGCATTTCATGGAATTGAGGGCAAAGCATAAAAACAAATGAAAATTACAATTTTCAGTTTCAATGTGAAAACTTTTCTTTACCCAAATGAAACTGAATTTATGAATTCAAACTTTAAAAAAATCTTGAGGTTTCTCACTATAAAGTAGGGCCATTTTAAAGTAAACACACATTACATTTTGGGTGGTTTGTTTTCAAAGGTGGGTCCATTTTACAAAATTGAAATTAATATGTAAAATGCACAGGCTTTTAAATTTTGTTGTAAATAGTTTGCTCAGCCCTAAGTATAAAAAAATCCCCTTCTTGCTTCTATATCTGACGTGGTTTAAAATCAAGGAAGATTTTTTCTGTGTAACATGAAGACTACGTTTAAGTAGAGAAACTCTTAAATAAACCAGCATTGAAAGAGAAAGCGAAGAGGTTTTTCTGAACACACTGTAAGAAATGCCCAGACAAGCCCTCATTATTGCTGAAAAGCAGATAAATACTGTAAGAAGTCAACTCGGCAAGGAAGGAAAGATGCTACTGGACTGTTTAAGTGTGTGTCAGATGCTCAGGGAAGGTTGGGTCTTATATGGCATTAGCCAGATTTTCATTGTCTAGGACATGTCAAGAGGTGCTATGCCTGTTCTGTGGCTAAAGAAAGGACTTTACTCCCCAGAACAGTTAATCTGGCCCCGCTCATGAGCACTAACCTCGTGTAGGGGCAAATCCTACTCTCTCTATTATTATTTATGATGTTGTAGCACCTAGCAGCCTCAGTCAAGGATTGGGGCCCCATTGTGCTTCACTGAACATCCAGCAAATGAAAGACAACCCTTGCTCCAGAGACAAGAGAAAATGACAGGTGGCTACAACAATCAGAGGGGGAAGCACAAGATAATGGAGAGACAATTACAACAAGCATGGTAAGCAGTGGACAACACACCAGCTGTCTAGGCATTGTCAAATGTTTCGTATGCACCATGCAGAGGTGTGGAAGGCCCTAGCGGTAGCTCGGGGGGGGGTAGGAGTTGGGGCTGGATTTGAGGAAACTGAACAGATAGATGCAAGAGAAGTCCTTGTGCGTCATTCTGGAGGTGGGTGTGAGGACTGGAGGCAGGGCAGCGAAAGAAGAGATGGGTCAGGGGGTTCCCAGCTCTGATGCACAGATCCATCCTATTCCCATTTCTGAATCCAGAGGAATAAAATGAAGACTGAAGAGACTAAAACATTGATAATGTCTGTGCACCGAAACCTTAAGAGTCAGAGGGCTACACAGAACCACCTTGCTGGGGATGAGCCAGTTGGTGTGTTGGGCTCTGCAAAGGACTCAGACAATTAACAACAGGAAAAATATTGTGGAGCAGCACGGCTGACTCCAGCAGCTCCAGAGAAATCCTAGGTTTCCTCCAGCTCTACAATTTCCAGAGGTGAAAGTAAGCCGGTCCGGTCCGGTCCGGCATACCGGCAAGAGCCAGTACGCCGTGCCGGACAGGACCGGCTTCCGCGGTGGTGATTTAAAGGGCCCAGAGCTCCTGCCACTGCAGAGAGCCCTGGGTCCTTTAGATCCCCGCCTGAGCTCCGGCAGCCGGGCTCGGGCAGTGATTGAAAGGGCCCAGTGCTCCCCGCAGCGGCAGGAGCCCTGGGCCCTTTAATTCGCCCCGGAGCCCCGGGGCTCCCAGCTGCCTGATTTAAAGGCTATGTGATTTAAAGCCCCTGGGGCTCCCAGCAACAGCTGGAGCCCCAGGGCCTTTAAATCATGAAAGGCCCCGTCTCTTCCGGTCAAGGCCCCGCCTCTTCTGGTTGAGGCCACACACCCCGCACAGGACTCAGGCGTACCGGTAAGTCCTTTAAGTTACTTTCACCCCTGACAATTTCTTCTGTATAATAAAGACGAGATGGTTCTGGGTTTTAGTGGACCTATCCTGCTGTGATTCACACTCTCTTCATAAGTGCTCTTCTGTAGAGCAGCATGGATAAAGGGAACAAGGAAGAGAACTTATCCAGGAGAAACAACAAGGCCCTTAACACATGCAAGTCCCCTCCCGGAGAGCCTGTTGCCAGCACAACCTTGCCCAGGATGGCGTTCAGCCGCTCCGTCTCGCAGTCCACCACCACCAGCCGTTCCTTTTTCTTCTCCAGCTCCTGGAAGAGCATCCTGTAGCCCTCTTCTGTTGTTGTCAGGATGTTGACAGCTGTCACCTGCCAGTTCTTCTCGGCAGCTGTGTCCAGCACTTTCTGTAGGACTGACAAGCCTGGAGAAAGAGGGGAACAAGGAGGGAGTCAGGTTTTAATTCTTGTGTGTTTGTTTGCACAACCTCCTAGGTTATATGTAACAGACATAATAATCTCATTTACAGATGAACATAGGCAGTAAGTCAGAGATATGGTCACCCTCTAAATGAGATGTGCTTATCCAGCGTATTAAGGGTAACAGCACCAAATAAATACATTGCACTCTTGCACTGCGGGAGCGTGGAATGCTTTACAAACATCAATCATTTAAGGGCTCACTTGTGTGTTATATGCAGAGCCCCACATTGGAAATGTGTGTAGTTAACACCAGTGTGAAGGACAGAGGTGTGTACCTGCTGCTCACTCCTCTGGGAGCTCAACGCACATCCTCCAGCCCCATCCCGCACTGGCATGGGCAGGCATGGCCCTGCCTCTATCCTTTGTCTCTTGCAGCATGCCCAGCCCAGAGTCCCCACTCTTCCTGTGAAAAGCCCTTGTGTACGTGCTCCTGCATAAGACCCCACCAAGTCTAAGGCTCACAAAACTCCTGTAGTTTCGTAGCCACTTGAGAGATGGGGAAACAGAGACAGAGAGGGTAAGGCACTTGCCCAACATCAGACATGGAGTTTATGACCGATCTGAGTAGAGAACCAAGTTGCCTTGTTTTAACCTACAGATCCCACTTCCTTCTATGCATTTATTTACCAGCAGAGCAATGATACCGTCTGTTCATGTTTTGGAAAAAAGGATTATTAACAGCAAATTTAGTATCTCTATAATTGGTTCCTAGAAGCTCACTGACTCTCTTTGGTAATTGACCGGTGTTCACTTAACGCAGGGAGCTCAGAGAGTTTTCCAAACTATCCCAGCTGTGCACGCAAATTCCATGCTTGTGTGTGCAAACGGGCATTTGACATGCAGGTGCCCATTATGCCCTAAGTGGCAACTGCACGTGTGCACAAATGGGGGGTTCCCACAGGCATCGGGTTAGGCAGGGGTGACAAACAGACATGCTCCGCCTACTCTGCCCTCGCCACTCACCCCGGTCAGCATCGTAAATGTACACAAACTTCTGCCAGTTGTAGTACTCGATGATGTTGATGAGGGCGTCCTGAAGCTCTGGGCGCAGCTGGAGGACGAACTGGTTGGAGGTGTCGACGGGGAAGCTGGGCGTTATGAAGCAGACGTGGAGCGCCCCGCAGAAGGATGTGAGCATGTTGACCGTCTTCCTGTCGTAAAACCCAAAGATGGCGTAGACGCCCTTGGAGAACTGCGAGCAGACTGGAAGAGGGAGAAGAAGATGGTTAGGGGAGCTAGGCAAAGAAGCCCAATTTCTGAGGCAAGCCTCTGTTGCTCTGGACTATTCAGCCCTCTGTCTGGGCACATAAGCTGGTATAGCCATCCTGCACTGCATTCAGTTAGAGAGCCAGGAGGTGGGGGGATGCCCTGCCCTTTAACTCCACACGACTTCTCCAGCTCTGAACTCATCTTAGATGACACTGCGAGGGAGAACGAGTTTGCTGCTCTCCCGCCGCTCCCTTGCAGACACTGCTCATGCTAGGATATGAACCGTTGTTTTGAAGAGTAATCATAAAAAAACACATTTTAAAAGACGGTCCCAATAAATCACCCAGGCTCCAGAGGGCACGGAGCGACAGCTGCTTGCTGCTCAAGCTTCTGCCAGAGGAGCGCTGAGTGATAGAAGTGTCAGCCTTGCATCCTACTCACCACCCGCCAAGCCACGGGAGGAGAAATACCATTACAGCTCTCTGAAGGAGGGCACCAGAATCTTGCCAGGATATTTCTCTCTCTCTCTCTCTCTCACACACACACACACTTTCTCTCTCCAGATTCTTCACCCTCTTCTGCTCTCTCTGCACCACTCAGGTTCACATTGCTCCCAGGGCTGAAGTGGCGGGTGGCCGTTGTGCAGGCAGTGCCTTCTATGGCCTTCCCACAACAATGGACCTGGTTCAAACACTTCCCTTCCCAAGTTGCAGGGGGGGGGCAGCCCAGGGAGCACATGTTCAATTCAAAAATCAAAGGTTCTTGAAAGAGAATCATCATCCCGGGCTGCGAGCTAGAGCCTTCAGGGCCACACGTGGTGCCCTGGCTGCAGGTTGGACACCACTGAGATAGAAGATGACACCCTCTGCCACCAGCTAAATTGCACATTTGGAACTCGGGAATCGCTGGCTCCCTAGCACCGGGCAAAGGGCATCCCTACCACAGGAAAAGTGGGGCTTACGGCGGCTGTAGAGGGTGACACAGCCCCACAGATGAGGGTGGGTCATTCCATCCAGTAGAGAGCATTGGCACCCGAACTGGTACAATCTGTACTCCCCACCCGCAAGTCCAGCAAAGCTTGTCAAAGAGCATTGAAGAGTTCAGACCCTGCACTCTGGCTACCGCCTGTAATGTACCTTTGGCCATCACAAACGCTATACGGTTACAATGCGCACACACGGCATAGATGATACAGGGTAATGCTGAACTGCATTACACTGTGCATATGTGTGTCAAACACACTGTGCCAAGCCTAGTTTATAACCCTTTATGTCCATCGATGGGGGCCGTGCTGCTATTGGCCACACATTAGGACAATCGCCGTTGGCATGGTTACACACTCACAGTGGCCAACAGCAGCTCTGTATTCAAGTCTGGCACGGGCCCAGAAAGAAATGGGAAGGGCATGAAAATGAGCTTCCTATGCCCAGCACAACCACGGATCGGGACTCTTTCATCTCCCTACCGAGGCTAATGTAGGCCTTGGCCTGGAATATGTGCTCGTTGCTACTCAGAAGCTGCCTGCAATGGTGTGTGTGTTGCGGGGAGACAGAGAAGTTCAGGGACCATGGGGGGGGGATCAGCTAGAGGCCCCCCCAAACAAGGTAGCTTTTGAGTGGAGGGCTCCAGAGGCTGTGCTTTCCCTTCCCCAAATGACAGGGCCCTAGCCAAGGAGCTCCCCACCCCGGCTCTTCCTTGGGGATGGTGACTGTGAAACAACTCGCTGGCTAAGGCGCCTTGTGGGGGTGCCGAGGCTGCCCAGCCCTGTTGTGGTAGCTTAGCTGCCTGTTTAAGGATGTCAGGGGGGCACTGCCTCCTTCCAGCCCAACACCTCAGCAAGCCCTCTGCCACGCCTAGGGGGAGGCGGAGGAGTTGTAGGCTCCACTTCTGCAGAAAGGGGCACTGCTGAGAGGGGTTTCTCACTAAGGAGCCGGCCGGTTCTCCTGGACACCGCATCCGACCAGGCCACAAAGCCACAAGGGCAGAGTTCAGCCCACGGACATTGCTTTAAGTTATTGCAAACTGGCCTGTTTTCAATGTCTGCTACGCACCTCAGCCCTACTTCACGCTTTCAACAGTCAGGGTGCCCTTGGGTTCCTAGTATCTTTTGTACCTGGGAAGGCCTAGATGCCTGACTGTTTCCATGCATGCAGATCTGGTCCCCCACCCCATCTCAAAAAAGAGATAATGGAATTGGGAAAGGTACAGAAAAGGGCAACAAAAATGATTAGGAGTATGGGGAGAGATTAATAAGACTGGGACTTTTCAGCTTGGAAAAGAGATGACTAAGAGGAGACATGATAGAGGTCTATAAAATTAGGACTGGCTTGGAGAAAGTAAATAAAGAAGTGTTATTTGCTCCTTCTCATAACACATGAACTAGGGGTCCCCAAATGAAATGAACAGGCATCAGGTTTAAAACAAACAAAAGGAAGTATTTCTTCACATGACGCACAGTCAACCTGTGGAACTCTTTGCCAGAGGACATTGTGAAGACCAAGACTATAACAGGGTTCAAAAAAGAACAAGATAAATTCATGGAGGATAGGTCCATCAATGGCTATTAGTCAGGATGGGCAGGGATGGTGTCCCTAGCATTTGTTTGCCAGATGCTGGGAATGGGCGACAGGGGATGGATCACTTGATGATTCCCTGTTTTGTTTATTCCTTCTGGGACACCTGGCATTGGCCACTGTTGGACGACAGGATACTGGGCTAGATGGACCCAGAATGGCTGTTCTTATGTTCTTTTGCTTTCAAAGGCTGGGGGTGGGGAAGGCTGGATCAGGAGATGGTGTGGCCTGGAAGTTCACCCTGGCTAACCCCTCAGGGTGTGGGTCAGGTAAGGCACAGCTCTTGGTTTCTGATCTCAGCAGTTACTGGTACTGCTGTGCAGTATGGGAGGTTGCTGTCTCACGTCGATGGCCTCCTCAGGAGAGCACTTAATGAGATCGTGGGAGCTGCTGGAAAACTGCCTCAAGATTTCAGCGAGGCAGAGAGAGCAGCACACGTTGTGGGTTGTAAAACTCAGTCCCAGATACAGTCAGACTTATTTAATATCACTCCTGTTTATGGCACATTCCAGTTATTCTCAATACATCTCCAAGCCCCAGGCAGTGAGAGTGACAGCATTTCCCACTGTCAGAACTCCTGGCACTAGCAATGCCTTCCATTGTCACTCCATGTCTTAAAGACCCCTTGGCGGTGACATTTACACTGACTCAAGGCTTCGTGCTGCCCCATGTTAAATAAAGGAGGAGGAGCTGATGTGACAGCTTCATTTCGGGGTCCCCTGGCAAACCCCTGCACGGTCCTCAGGAATCGCACGATCTGCTTCTAGACTGGTGAGAGCCACCGCTGTGTATGCCATGTGTTCCAAGGAGGACTGAGGGTGGGAATTAAGAGTCATCCCCAGATAGCCTTACTCCTGAGCTTACCATTGCTCCCCCTCCCACCCCAATAAACTCCATGTCACAGGAATTACCAGACTGGATCAGACCGTCCAGCTCTGGAGCCCATCTCAGACAGTGCCCTGCCCCAAATGCTTCAGAGGAAGGTGCAAGAAACCCTGCAGCAGGCAGATGTGGGAGAATCTGCCCCACTCCTATATAAATCTCATCCGACCCCCTAATAGTTAGAGATTGGTTTCATCCCTGAAATCGGGACTTTTACATCCCTTTCCAAAGGCTGTTTTTGTTGGCATTAACCAAAAATATTCTCCTTCCTATATATAAGCAGCTGCAGTCCAGCATATCCCCACCATACTAAGCCAAACACAGCCCTGCGAGGGAAGGGCTGTTTAAGGTATGAAAATCAGACCTCTCTCTAGAAGGCTGAGTTGTAACCATCATGACAATCCCAGCACCCACTCACCCCAGTGCCACCGCTGTGACACCCTCCAAGCACCCATTGGAACAAGAAGAAAACCTAGTTTCATTGATACAAGAAACAGACCAGCTGACAGACTCTAGATCTGATGAAGTTTTGCATGGAAAGCTCAGGATTTCAAGACTCATTTCAGCCTGGCCACCACCATGACTCTTCCCATTCCGATGGGCTCAGGAAGGGTGTGAGACTGGAAATGACTGACCTGATGCCCTGATAGTTAGCAGGTGGGTGCATCTCTCTCTGGTCTCTCATCAGAGGACAGTGTAAGTTTTGCCGTGCTTCAAGTGACCAGCCAGGTAAATGTCTCACCCACCCCCCACTATCATGGAGACCCAGACTACAAGTCAAAGTGAGTTTTGACTCAGGGATGTTTGACAGTGTGTCATGCTAGCACTTTAAACATCTGCTGGATTTTCTTATTATTTCATATCTGTATTACAGTGCTGCAAGAGGCCCTAAACTGAGATCAGAGCCCTGCTGTGCATAAACATCCTAAGAGACAGTTTCTGCCCCCAAATAACTTAGAGTCTAAAGAGAGGAGACGGTGGATGGCAGACAGGAAGAACTGTTATCCGCATTTTGCAGATGGGTGTGCAGTCCCCACTCCACATGCACATGGCAGCTGTGTGAAAGGGCCTGTGCTAACCTGAGCAATTAGGGAGAAGGCAGAGCGCGGAGCTGGCCCCAGAGCCCTGGCTGGCTAAAGGACTGGGAGGAAATCCTGCTGCTTCCAGCCCAGGTTCCCTTGGAGGAGTGGAATCCCATTCCAGAGCACAAGATCAGCCCTGTCCAAATGGGGCCAGAGGATTGGTTGCAAGCCACCTGGTCGGCTCTGGACCAATCTGCTGGCACGGGAGTTGAGCTGGAGAGAGATGTCAGAGCACATCCTGCTGCTGCTGGAGGGAGCCGTCCCAAACCCAGCCAGAACCTGGGGCTAGGGGGTTGGCCCAGCAAATATACCAGGGTCACAGCGACAGACAGGCTGCAGGAGCAGTCTTGACTCAGCAGAGGTGTTCTGACCACCATGGGGATGGATACCAGTGAGGCAGCAGACTCAAACTCCCCCTCGGAGCTCGCCCCATGCCCGAGCACTAGCAGCCATTGCA